ATCAATTTCTTTAGATGAATTGATATATAGAAGTTCTGGTTTAAATTAATTTCTAATTAAACCGTGAACACTTCTGCCAAAAGCTATAAAAAAAATAGAAACTTGTTGTATCCTTGTAAGTTGTAAGTTGTAGGAGGTCGAAAAAACATATACATAACAAAACAAGAAAAAAAATCTTGTCTACTCCTATTATTAGATAGTGTTAACATGATATTTTATAATTTGCGAGCGAAAGTGAATTCAGAATTTTTATATGGATTTTGAAATATTATTATAATTATTTTACTTACTTACAAGTTTTTGATATATTATGAACGTAGAGTCTTCTGCATTATATCCAATGACATAGTTACATGATAGTTGGGGTGTCTAATTCGTCGGGAAGAAAATATCATATATACAAGTAAAATGATACATGAAATAATTAAATAACATATTTTGGTTTCTTAATATAACAAACTCTTGTAGCCCATTGATTTTAGATGCTTGGAATAAAATAGTACTCACATATTTGAATCTCACTAATTTTACTTTTTGAATTGAATTTTTATTGTGCTATTTCTAATAAGTTGGAAGTTGGAAGTTAGAGTAGTCAATAAGAATTTAGTCTATTAAGTTAGTTTAACTTAGTTCATAATTTATTAATAAGATTGAGTTATGATTTTTGAAGCTTATTTAAAAACATGACTTTTAAATTCAATTTGAATAAGTCTTAATAACTTACGAGGATTGAACTAGGTCAAGTTAAATAAAAAATCAATTAAAATAACTATTAAAAATAACAAAAGGAGTGCAAACTGAAAATCCAGTCAAACCATCATTTTAATAGATGAAAGTTGTCTTTTTCTGTGCATGTTTTATTGTGATCTATATTATCAAAACTAGGTTAATATTTCTAATAAAGTTTGTCGTATTATTGTTACTAATTAACTTGCTCATTAATATCTCTATTTGGTTTGAGTGGTAATGAGTAATAGACTCAAAGTTATTCAATTTCAAAAAAGTTTTATGTCCAACAATTTCTTTTTTCAAGATATTTACATAAAATAATAACAAAATAGCTACGATTGTGAAAAGCAAAATTTAAATCTATACGGTCAATTTTTACTTAAAAGGCAAATTTAATAAACATTACTTTATTAGAATTATTTTGTTGCGGTGGATATGAGATTTGATTAAAAGTAATGATACCTAGAATATATTATCTCGTAAATAAAATAGTTCTAGATGTTATAATTATTAAAGGTGACATAATTATGATGTGAAATTTTCTTATACTCGATGTGTAACATAAACTTTTGTTGCATTTTCATTATGACTTCAACTAGTGTATGTTCTAGACCTTCTACTTTTGGGTGTCCAACCAATATTTGCAATTCCAGCACCAAAGGACTTATTACACCATTATTACTTCAACAAGTTTTATGAAAAAAAGTATTGTGTTGTTAGTATCTTACAAGTTTATTATTGAAGAAAATATATAATTTGAACTCAAATATATATTAATTGTTACATTATTTCTGAGCAAATTAAAGTATGTCATTTTAAAATGAAATGCGTTTAAGGTCTGCATACACTCTATCTTTACGCGATAGTTTTAAGATCCGCACATTTTATTGTGAAATTTCACCATATATGTTGTTATTTTTATTTTTGTTTGATTTGGTATTAGCCAGACAAAAAATATCCGACTATAATTTAGTTTAATTTAGTTATCGATAAAAAATAAAAATTTAGACAATACGCTAAGATATTTATGTTATGTTTTTTTTTGTTGCTCAAAGGAAGATATGTAATTATGTATGATTGATAAAAGAGAACCATTATTTAGATGTAAACGCCGTTAAAATGGCTTCAATACTTATTTGATTGATCTTACGTCTAATCCACCGTAAAAGAGGGTGAGGTTCAATAAATGGATACAAAGAGGTCCACAAAAGTATTAACGTATCTCTTGTTTTCTAAAAAATATCCCTCCAACAAAAACTCTCGAAATTCCTAGACTACGTCGCGAATGTTGATTTGATTACAAGGGAATGAATTTATAGAGTTTAAACATTTTCCTTCGAGAAAAATGAAGACTTCATGTTTTTCTTTTTAGGTAAAGAAAAATCTAATTATAATAACAAACTCAGACATATAATACCCAACAACTTTATAACCATAGATTCATTTGAAGCCTTGACTTTCAACACCTCACTAACAAAACAAAAATTCAGATTTATCAATTAACTAAGCCATTGATATTTTCCGCAACTCAATTTAATCACTTAATCACTCTTTCTTCTTCAAACCTAAATATGGAAATACAGTTGAAAAGTTAGTAAAGGGTAAATCAGAGGGGGAGTAACCGACTGGAACATTGAATGCGTGCGTATGTCTTTTTGTCTAACAAATTAACTACCAACAATCTCCCAATATCTTACTTTACCATTTTTTTGTATTTTTTCTCTATCTCTGCATATCCCACTGCCACGTCATTTTTCATTTTTGCCATTTCCATCTTTTATATATTTAATTTAATAAATTATATTCCTTTTATTTTATATATATAAATAGAGGTTCTACTTTCTGATCACCTCTCACCACATATACTTTTAGAATCTTTCTTACTTGTAGAAAAAAAACACACAATTTTTTCATCAGAAAAAAAAATGTTGAGATTGATAACAGGCATAAGAGGAGCAACTGGATTTGGCTCAGCTTCTACTGCTGAGGAGGTTACTGATGGCGTTGATGCTACCGCTCTCACAGTTATTATTACAGGTTTCACATACTTTCTTTCATTTCAATTTGTTTATCTTAGTTTTGATCGAACTCTACGTATTGATCTTTGTTAAATGACATATCTAATATACCAAAATAACGTCTAATTATATGATATTAAATATAAGTATATATAGAGTTAAAACATATATTCAGAACTCACAATCGTACGTCTAAATTCTGATGATGGTGCTGCTGGTAAGTTTGAAGTAATTTGTATACATTTTGTCCACAGGAGGTGCAAGCGGTATTGGTTTGGAGACAGCACGAGTTTTAGCTCTGAGAAAAGCCCATGTTATTATTGCTGCAAGAAATATGGAGGCTGCAAATGAAGCAAAACAGCAAATTTTGAATGAAAACGCTAGTGCACGTATTGATATTCTGAAACTCGATCTCAGCTCATTGAAATCAGTCAAGGCATTTGCAGATAACTTCTTAGCTCTTAACCTTCCACTCAACATCTTAATGTAATTGATTCGATCTTCATTCATTGATATATTGTTGGATTTTGCATCTGTACTGCTACTGTTTTACGAGAATATTCAACTTTTTAGCTGTCTAATACGAGTCTACCATGTTATTTTCAAACATATTTTGCGAAAACAGAAACAATGCAGGTATCATGTTCTGTCCATTTCAGCTTTCTGAGGATGGAATAGAGATGCAGTTTGCTACAAATCATCTTGGTATAACGCGTAACTTTTAATATTATTTCGGAGATCATTTCTCTCATGTATATGGCTAATTTGATTCTGTTTTTTTTGGGGGAAATTTTCAGGTCATTTCTACTTGACTAGCCTTCTTCTAGACAAAATGAAGGAAACAGCAAAATCTACTGGTATTGAAGGTAGAATTGTGAATTTGTCATCAGTAGCTCACCTAGTTTGCCCTCGTGAAGGAATACGATTCCAAAATATCAACGATAAAAACAGGTACACTTTATTCACAAAGTTATATAGCCATGGTACGTTGTGGAATCGATTTCTACATTGTGATTACTCGTTTCACTGATCAGTTATCAAGATAAAGTGGCCTATGGACAATCTAAATTAGCCAACCTATTACATGCCAACGAGCTATCTCGCCGTTTGCAGGTAATTGTCTAAGTCTGCATACTAGTTACTACTAGCTGTCCTGCCCCTGGATGAATATTTAAGCTAATGTATTGCTGTCTATTTCATTCAACTTCATTTGAGACGAATTAAAGAACGACATTTATATAAAAAGATACTCGAAGGGTGTTAGAAATGCAATTCTGTCGTGAAATGCAGGAAGAGGGAGCAAATATCACTGTCAATTCAGTTCATCCGGGTCTGATAATGACGAATCTCATGAGACATTCAGCCTTTTTGATGAGTACGCTACATATAACCCTCATACAAAAGATTAGCTAGAGGATTTTCCCAGTTTTAATTGGAATATCTTTCTTCTGATTGGCAGGAATCTTAAGGGTTTTCACTTGTTTACTGTGGAAGAATATCCCTCAGGTAACAACTATATTGCTCGAACCCTCCAAATATATAGCCTTTGGATGATCCTACACAAACCGGGAGTACACATTTTAAAGAGCCTGAGAAACAATAGGCCGATAGTTTCTCATTTTACATTTGAAAGCTGAAAAATGTTGATTTATTTTCCAGGGGGCAGCTACAACTTGCTATGTCGCCCTCCATCCAAGTTTAAAGGGAGTGACAGGAAAGTACTTTTCTGATTGCAACGAGTATAAGCCAAGCAAGCTTGCACGAGACGAAGTGTTAGGTAGGAGTCTTTGGGATTTCAGCAACAATCTGATAAATGCATCTCAAAAGATTATTGATAAGTAGAAGAGAGTCATTGGAAATCCTGCAAGTTGTTATTACTACAATTTTGCATTCATATGTTGTGAAACAGTTGTAGAAGGTTGTAGCTTTAAGCTTATCTGGTTCTGTTCCCAATTTATAGTCTATCTGTGTATGTTTGTTTATGTTAGCTTACTTATGTTTTAAATGTGTCTAGAATTTTAGTTTTTTGCTCTCTTTTCGATTCTCAATTGACCTTGTAATGACTGTGAAAACGTCTATTTAATTTTAGTTGAACCTTTTCATGTCTGTAACAAGTAAGCTAGTTTAACGTATCACTTATAGTAGTTTTCAACAATCTTAGTCCCAAGCCTATGAATGAGGGAAGCAGATCGTTGTCCTTGCGTTGTTAAGGGATTCAGCCAAATGTGACAAGTGATCCTATAGAGAATAACAAAAGAAAAGTATAATCGGGTGCATTAAGGAGGAAACTTTGATACAGAAAATAGTGTTACAACACAGATAAGTTTTCAATAAGGAGGAACATCCAGGTGCTACCCTCAACAACAACAACAAATAATCTAATGTAGTCCCATACACAGGTTTAGTAGGGAGGATAGAGTATACGCAAATCTGCAGGTAAAGAGACAAGAGATTGTGCCCTTTGCGTTATCAAATTTAATTTCTACTGCAGAGATCCTCTCAATAACATATAACAGTCAGGTCGAAGAAAGAACCATCTTACAAAGATTATCTATTTGGACTTTCTGATACATCTAACACGGTACCTGTAAACAGTAAAAGAAGAGTAACATATAAAACTACGTATTGGATGCTGCAGGACAAGTGCAATCAAACCTCCTCTGAGTAGCAGGATTTTCCAGGACAGCTGCAGAGCAACCTCACCCATTGACTAATCCCTAGAATTGGCGACATAGCCACGCCAAGCAGATGTGGTGATGAGAGGGCGACTATGCCAACTCAACATAAGACACCCATCTTTCTCTTCTACTCTATATCTTTTTCCATTTGTGTACAAGGCCAACAACATGTTTGCGTGTCTGTACGTATTTGAACCCAGGGGAACCAGGTTGAACCCTGCAGAATTAAACCTCACTCGCCATTGACCAAACGTCTCGTGTCTCACTACTCGCTTAGTCCCTTCACAAGCCACCAAATTATAGATCTCCCTCCCTAGGTGCTCTGCCGCAATCTCCAAGTCTATAGTGCTGCGCTTAGTCCACTCTGAGTTCTCCAGCAAATCAAACATTGTTGAATAGTAATACCATGCTTCCTTAATCCTGTTCATAAAAACAGTCTCATTGTGATTCACTTCACGTTCAGCAATGGTCACAATCTTCGGGTCTATTTGTTTTATCAAATCCAGCACTTTCTCAATTGCTCCTGGAATGGAAAACAGACGGTGAAGCTTGAAAACAGAGTTCACGGCCACTGATTCCACATTACTGGGTCTAATATTCAACATTGGTGCTTCAAGATCAGCTAAAGTATGGACCACGAATCCACGAAACTCAAATTCTACACCTGTTGACTCTGCAAGTTGGGCGAGCTCCCGACCAACTTCTTGTAAGGCATCGGTAGTGTCCTCAGGCTGAGAGTGGCCACGAATTCCTGTGAGCCGAAGAGCCGGTGGACCACCAGGACGCAAAGTGAGAGCCTGTAAAAGTGCTGGCCATTGTGAACCTTGATTTAAGCTGAAATCAATTACATGTACTCTCTTGGAATCTGCAAAGGCCTCCAAAATGGATTGATTGGCAATGAAGTGAGCGAATTTGAGGAAGAGGCAGCTATCGTAGAAGCTCATACTCAAGACTTGATCCTTGGGATAGGATGATTCATCAATATCTTCCGAATTTGTTCTGTGAATCTTATGATACAAAGCGTCTGCAAAATAAGTAGCCTCTTTCTTCATTGCTCCTCCCATTTGTGAAACTGAAATTCTTCTTATATCACTGATTAGTTCATCCGCTAGACTTAAGTTGTTATCTTGGATCGCCTCGGCACAAGCCATCAACGTATTGACAAGCCTAACACTACTCTCTTCGTATACTAAACAGTCACGAGATTCAGATCCACCACAAGATTTCAGTCTGTTTTCACAAAGTGCCCTGAGATCAACATTAAATATCCTAATCTCTTGCTGATCATCAATTTGCTTATTATTATTAAACCATCTGGAAGAAGCACATGATGATACAATCATTGAATCATCCTCATTACCACCGCCACCAGCAGCAGTCGAAATCTGCTGGTGATGGTGGTGGTGTTCGTCTAAACTGGTAGAAGACGACGAATTAGGAATATTGTGATCAGAGATCAAACTGTGAGTCCAGCCTGAAATATCAGAAGCAGCGTAGATGATTGCTTCTGTATTAGAAACAAAGGAATCTTCATCTTCCATAATTGTATCCATGGATATCTCAAGTGAACTCATCCTTAAAAAAAAGTTATATTTCGCTTTCATTTCATATTAAATATCAATTAATATAGATATTATGATAAAAATTAGACATGAAATGTGAACGCAGAGAGTATGTATTTTTCAACAACAAAGCATCAACTTAGTCAACAAAGGACAGTGATCCAAATACTAGACAGGTCCCATTTGGATATGGATATTTCTTTATTTAAAAGGTTTTGTCATATATTGAATTATTTTCTGGGCAATTGACAATTGAGTCTAGACTCCTATTTTTAATTCTACCAATCAAGCTTGATTCAATGGTTATTAAAATGAAAGATACATTTTAACGAAGACAGTCATTCAGCTATTATTTTTTAGTCATATAAAAGTCAAATTTATCACACAAAAGTCGTTTTTCTATTTCGTTGGGACATAAAAGTCAACCGACTTTGGTCCTAATTAACAAAAAAAATAAAATATGAGTTAAGCTAGCCCATCAGGTTTGCCTATATAGTGTAGCTCTATATGAGGCCTACACTATGGCCTCATATAGAGCTGTGACAGGTCTCAACTATTTGACTAAATACCTAAAAATGACGGTAAACGAGAGTCAGTGTTAACCCTTCTATGCTAAGCTATACACGCGATTGACAGTCCAAATTTGCAAATTTAATCTTCAAACCAAGGAGCTTTCATCTTGAAAAAACCAGTAGACTGACTTTTGAGTTTTGAATAAGCACCAAGAGTCATGGAACTAAGGAGTCCTTGTTCGAACTAACATGAAATATAGCATAGAACAAATTAAAGAGTCAGCTAACATAACAAAGGTTGAAAAGTTTAGTATGAACATGCCACGACTAACTAGCAAGAGCCGGACCTGCTTGTAATAACTGCAAAGTTGAACCTTTCATGCACAACAAAGTAAAATAGTTTAACCATTCACTTAGGGTAGTTATAGCAATCTTATTTCCAACTTCCAAGCCTATGAATGAGGGAAGCACATTAATGCTCTTCTTTACTTTTCTTAGTTATGGATTATCGCGTAAGAAGTCTCTTGTGCTCCTTCTCTACTACCACTGCTAAATGCGAGAGCTTTGGAAACCTTCTTTGCAGGGAATAGGGATAGATCATTGTCTTTGAGTCATCAAGGGATTCAGCCAAATGTGACGAGTGATCGATCCCTGAGACCTTCAGCTTCAATACTCTGGAAAAATAAGCATAATGAATGATGCAGAGATAAGAAGTGCCTCGTCTTCTACAGAAGGCAATACCTAATGTATATAGAACAGTAGCTATGATGAAGGCCTAATTTTTTTCCTTTGGGAATCACAATTAATTTGTCATTCAAGCCTGGAAAAATTTAGACAATTAAAAACAGAAAAGGTATTACAGATAACATAATTGATCTAAGACAAATGTTAAATAGAGAAAATAGCGTTGCATCACAGACAATAACAAGTTCTGATAACATAAAAACGAGGAACATCAAGGTACTACCCTCAACAGTAACAATAAATCTAGTGTAGTCCCATTGGTAAGGTCCCTGGAGAGGGTAGAGTGTGGCAAACCTTACCCCTATCTCACAGAGGTAGAGAGATTGTTTCCAAAAGATGGTGCCCTTCGCTTTATCTAAGTTAATCTAGTGTAGTCCCATAAGCAGGGTTTGGGGAGGGTAGAGTGTACTCAAACATTCCTATCACATGGAGGTAGAGACAACTGTTTCCAAAAGACTGTGTCCTTGACGTTATCTAAGTTGATGGCTACTGCAGAGATCCTCTTAATATCAGTGAGGTCAAAGAAAAGAACCATCTTACAAATGTTATCAATTTGTACTGTCAGATACATCTGAGACGATACATGTAAATAGTAAAAGAAGAGTAACACAAGTGTGTGCGCGCTCTGAGTTAGTTGACATATAAAACTACGTACTGGATGATGCAGGACAGTTGCAGAGCAGCAAGCTATTCCAGGACAGCTGCCGAGCAACCTCAGCCATTGACCAGACTCCCTAGACTTGGCTACATAGCCGCCAAGTGGAGTTGGCTATGAGAGGGAGACTATTCCAGCTCAGCATAAGAGACCCATCTTTCACTTCTACTTTATATCCCTCTGCATTTGGGAAAGAGGCCAATAACATAGCTCCCTGTTTGTAAGTATCTGAAGTCAGGGGAACCAGGTTGAACCCTGCAGAGTAGATCCTCACTTGCCATTGACCCAGAGTCCCACGTCTCACAATTCGCTTAGTCCCTTCGCAAGCCACCAAATTATAGATCTCTGACACCATTACATCTAGGCACTGCTTTTCCATGACCGTGTCTAAATTGTTGGGACTAATTGATTCTAAATTCTCCAGAAAATCAAACATTGTTGAATAGTAACGTGATGCTTCAATAATCCTGCTACTAAAGACTCTCCCATTGTGATTCACTTCTTGTTCGGTGATGGTCACAACCTTGGGCTCTATCTGTTTTATTAAATCCATCACTTTCTCAATTGCCCCTGGAATGGAAAACAGAGGTTGAAGCTCGAAAACAGAGTTCACAGCCACTGCTTCCTCATTACTAGGTCTAATGTTCAACATCGATGCTTCAAGATCAGCTAAAGCATAGGCCATAAATCCACAGAATTCAAATTCGACACCAATTGACTCTGCAAATTGGGCGAGCTTAAAACCAACTTCCTGTAACGGATCGCTACCATCATCAGACTTAGGTTGGCCACTAATTCCTGAGAGCCGAAAAGCTGGTGGACCGCCAGGACGCAAAGCAAGAGCCTGCAAAAGTGCCTGCCATTGCAAACCTTGATTGAAGCTGAAATCAATGACATGTACTCTATTGAAATTGGCAAAGGCCTCCAAAATTGATTGATTGGCAGTGAAGTGGGCAAATTTGAGGAAGAGGCAGTTCCCGTAGACACTCGTATGGTTATAGGATAATCCAACAATATCTTGTGGAATCAATCTGTGAATCTTATTATCGAAAGCATCTGCAAAATGTGTCGCCACTTTCTTCATTGCTCCTCCAAATTGTGCAACTTCAAATCTCCTTATTATGTTACGAATTAATCTGTCCGCTAGACATGAGTAGTTCTTTTTGTCTGCCTTGGCACAAGCTACTATGATATTGACAAGCAAAACACTAGCGTCTCCGTTCACTGTACGACCAGTATCCGGCAATAAACCACCATGAGATTCAAATCCACTGCAAGTGTTGTTGCAAAGTGAACTGAAATCAACGTTAAATATCCTAATCTCTTGGTGATCATCAATTTGCTTATTATCATTAAACCAGCTGGAAGATGCACTTGATGATACAATCATCGAATCATCCTCTTTACCACCGTCACCGGCAGCAGTTGAAATCTGCTGATGGTGCTCGTCTACACTGGTAGAAGAGGATGAATTAGGAATATTGTTATCTGAGAACAAACTGTGGGTCCAGCCTGAGATATCTGAAGCAGCGTAGATGATCGCATTTGTATTAGAAACAAAGGAATCTTCATCTTCCATAATTGTATCCATGGATATCTCTCGTGAACTCATCTTTCTCTTCTTCCTTTTTTTTTGGTGGGAATTACCTTTGTGCTTCCCTAAAATAAGCGATGTTCTGACATATATTGTTTTTAAAATAACAACGGAAGACGCGTTTCTAATTTGAAAAAGTTATTCTCACTACTTTTCAAGTCCACTCACAATTTTTTTATTTATTTTCAAATCTTATATTCTACTTTCTAAATATAGCATAGAACAAATTTAAGAGTCAACTGACATAACAAAAACTTTAGCATAAACATACCACGACTAACTACGATTCTCGTTTCACTGCTTAACAAAGCCCTCACACACTTATTTATTTACATAACACTCTGATGAAATCTTCAAGAGAGCCAAGCCACTAAGATCAAAAAGGGAGTTCAGCTGGCCTTTGCAACCGGGAAGTGCAGTTTTGTGATAGAGTTCTGAAGAAAACTTCTCCCACAAAATGGATCTGGGCTGTCAATATCCAAATCCACAACGCTAGACTGTACCTCGCTTGACGAAGGTTCGATATTGCTATCATCCAGAGGATGGTTACTTATCTGAGAACTCTCTCCATGTTTACGAGCTTGCTTCTTGTCTCTACCCTTGCTCCCTCGTGAGGATTTGCCATTGTTTTTCTGCTTATTCTTCCCATTCTTCTTCTTGCCATTCTTATGGTTTTGTCCCTTGTTTGGATTTGGCACATGTGACACTGATGTTGGAATAGGATCATACACATCTGGAGCCCATGTTACAGTCAGCTTCCTCGATAGACTGCCTTGTTTCTCACGGCCACCTTTCATGGCAGATACAAGCTTCAAAGGAGTCTGTGAATAAATAAAACACAGAAGGAAAGAGGAAAAAATAGGACTGTTAACATCTGCAGTTACTTGATCGCTCAACCGTGAAACAATCGCCATTTAGTGTCGTTCTCTGTATCTGAAAAAGCAGTTCTATGCTCCAGTGCTGTTTCCACTATACTGTAACTATAGTATGATACAACTAGCCACATTGCTTACAATACAAACTAAAGCCAAGAAATAATGGCTTGTGGGAGTCATAATGCTGACAAACCCAAGGAGAATGCAGAGACCAGAAGCAGCATACCAGGGAAAGGTGGTCAGAGTATAACCAAAAAAACCAACCAATATATGGGTATGAATGAATATTCATGTGTATCCTATTCTTTTTTTGACAGGGTATATTGTATTTCTTCTACAGATATGTTTTTTCTCTTTTCTAGATATAATACATAACCTATTCATAAAAATGGATAGCAAAATGAATCCTACGCTGAATCGGCCAAAACCAAAATGTATCCCAGAAGAAACTGAACCATGGTATACAAACATTAAAAAATCCCAACAGTAGTATCCACGATGACCTAGTACTCATCGTCAAAGTTTATAAGACCAAGCAACTAAAAACCAAGAGCAAGTCATGGTTACAAACAACTCAAATCAAAAACTTAATCCAAGAAAGAGAGGAAATTGTGGCTTGTGGAATTTCAAATCAACAATAACCCCAAAAAGAACTGCTAAAAACCGTAAGCAAGATACCACAGAGAAGTGGTCAAACCATGTCCAAAGAAGGATATAAAAAGGAGAAAGTGAGTTCATTCCTACGTTTTAAACAATCATTCTACATAATAATAGAATTTAATACACATCTGTACCTCACCATCAACACTTCACAAGTAGAATCCAAGATTACCACTAACTAAAGTGACAAGAGACGTTGATTGTCTTAACGAAAACAAGATATATGTAAGTATTGGCTATATATTTTCACGAATAACAAATTGGCAAAAAGATCAAGAAGGCCTCTATCATAATATCAATACATTAAGGATAAGGAACTTGATGAACATTATTGAAGACACAGAAAACTCACTGGCAGAGATATGGAACGTGAGTAAGGCAAATCAGGAGATTTGGCTTCAGCACCATGTGTCATTACTTCAGCATTCATATTTCCCTCTGGCTCCTTCCCACCAAATTCTGCAGGAGGCACGCTAATACCAGAGCATGGAAAAGTTGCACATTTGATCAAGCATTTTACAGAAGCACTACCAGAATCACTTCCATGGGAATCTTTAGTTACATCTTCCTTCACAGTCTCAACATTGCACTTATCATTTGAGTCTTCAGCATCCTGAATATTGAGACATTCAGTGAAATGGTGGCCAAAATCATTTAGAGAAAGACCTTCTACATTTCCAAAAGCACAATTAGGCATCCCCTTTGATGACTCGCAATGAGCGCCTACATTTTCAGACGCCAAATTGTAGCTAGCAGGGCAATCGTCCATCAATTACAAAGAGAGCAGCAAAGACCTGCCAAAATGTGCAAAGAAAATCTAAGCACAATAGTACCAAGAATGTTCGTTTGTAGAACTAATGTAGACAGCTAAAGGAACTGAATTAGCAACAAGCTATGATTTTCTCTGCAATATACGATTAACTTTTGAACCTTTACTATTCCATCCATCTTGCATGAGTTGAAACAGATCTAGAAAACAAGGAATCATAAACCAATCAAATGCAGTAATTACTTCTATCCCAACCGGTCTATTAAATAAAATCAGATAAGGATCTTACATGCCATTCAGATTCATCAAAAACTAACAATCTACCCACACGGTTTAAGAAATAAGAATGATCAAAAAAAATTTAGACGCACAGGTAAAAATGGGAGAAACCCAACCACCACCAGTAGCAGATCCTGCATATATCATGTGCCAGTTAACTTTTCTACAGACCATGTATATATAATAAGAAATCAACTAAATATCTACATATATTTTATCGTGAACCAAGGATGTTCCTGGGTACAGATGAACTCATAGATTAATTGGATAAGCCCCTGGACATACCAATGTACAGAATTTGAATGTATGCATATTTTACATGTTTTTACACTTAGATTGGATTGCTGTGCATATGGTTATGTGACTTATCTATGCACCGCACATTATATATGACATTAAATTCCTACTGCATAAATTGCCGCCACATCCTTTAAGAGACTTGCTAGATGTATATTACTTACTCCCTTCCCCGTATCTGTTTTTATATAACTCAACGTATTCAACTCTAAGCACCAGCAAACCGCATGACTGATTGTGATCCAGTTGGATGGCTACTTTAGTGGTAAGCCCAACCACTTTAGTTATGTGATTGCTCAGTGTCTTTATTAAATTACCATTTTATTCTTGTTTGCGGGACTGAGTTTCAGTTGGATTCTTAGATGCTCCTTTTGCTTTGTGATTGGGTTTAAATTTGTTTTCCAGTATGTACTTAAGTATGAATTCAGTTATGCTTTGATTATTAATCTGTGCTTGTTGGATTTTTCTATTTATGTTATTGAATGGTTTGGATGTAATAAATAAGGTTCGCTTAATAAGGACAAATTGAGCACCAGTTACGGATCTTGAGTTTTTGGGTGGTGATTCTTTTTTTTAATAACCGGGATGTCCGGGCTAGCTTGCATAGACCTCGACTAATTTCATAAAAACCTGTCACGTCCCACCAACAACATATTTCAGCTAACTCCATCCACCAGGGTAAGACAAACAAATAGAAAGAAATCACCTAGTGTTTCCTCTCTAAGAAAAGAAGCTCTTCCTCAAAAAAAAATCACCTAGTGTTTTTGTTCCCTCTAGGATTTCTTTCAATCTGAGACCTCATGGTTCTTAACCCACTTCATTGACCACTCAAATATTTTCTTTTTTTGGTTTCTTTCCTATAGGTTTGTAAATCCTTTTAGATATTTGCTAATCATAGAAAGACATTAATATTTAACTTTCTTCTCCGCTATGTACAAAACATTACAAACGACAAAAAAACAATTATGATACATATATTGTGTTTGACAAGACACAAATAAATGAAAACGAGCAAGACGTGGACGAATTTTAACACAGAAATTCACTTTTTTGGGCTAATGTGTTACAACTTCACAATTGCAGATGGATGATTGATATGGTGCAACGGATACACCCACATTAAAAATACAAACAGAACTCAATAACATGCATACACAAACATCAAACTATGTATATGACTTATCTGCAGCATATTATAAATGGTATTAAATTCTCTACTGCATAAAATGCCGCCAGGACCTTTAGGACGGTCTATGAGACTTATATGTACTCACTCTCAGACTCCCTTTATCTTTTTATATAGCTTTGCACATTCAATTCCATGCACCAGCGAACCACATGACTGATTGTGATCCTGTTGGACGACAACATTAATGGTAAAAGCCAACCAATTAAGTTGTGTGGTGGCTCAAAATCTTTATCCAATTATCGTTTGTATTCTTGTTTTTCGGACTATATTTCGTTTGAATTCTTAGATGCTCCTTTTAATGTGTGATTTTTTTTTTTTGTGATGACAAGGAAAACCCGCTACCCTTTGGGTGCACAAAGGGTAAAACCCCGCTTCTATGCAATAACTCGCAAATCACACATTTCAGGCAAGCTCGGTCTGATGTGTTCGACCTAGAAGGCAAACCCCTTGCTTTCATTGGCAGGGGATTTTAAACTGGAGACCTCCAACATGGAAGTCTCAAGCCCGAACCACTGGGCTACCCCAAAGGATACTATGTGATTTGGTTTAACAACCACCACCCAGTGAATTCTTGGGTTTAAATCCCTTTTAATTATTTACTTAAGTAAAAGAATTCAATTACGATTTGATTCTTAATTGCTTGTTAGATTAATTATTATTGATGGATGTTTCTATTGATGTTATTGAATGGTTAGGATTTATAAATATGGTTTGCTCGATAAGGGGAAAATTGAGCATCGGTTATGGATCTTGAGTTTTTTGGGTGGTGATTGATAACCCATGAATCATGATATGCTCTCTTTGTTTCAATTTATTTGTCTGCTTTTCTTTTTAGCTTGCTTCAAAAAGTATGTCTTAAAAACTATATATTTCTAACTTTCCATGTGACATGTTCAAAATCATAAGATTCAAGGTCATTGACATTCTACATCATCTTTAGTAAACCAAACAATCAAATTGAAGCCAAGAGAGTACAA